TCTCCGCTCGTCTGCCCCGGCCCCCGGCAGCAGGGCTGGGCCTGCCGGCTCCTCGGGGAAGGAATGGTCTTCAGCCCAGCGTGGGACAGCAAGGCAGGATGCTTTCCTGTCAAAGCCTCGTTATGCAAATGCCAGCTCCTCGCCCCTCTCCAGAAAACAGCACGTCAGGAGCCTTGGCTCCAGCACGAGCGCTCTCCTGGGAGGAGCGCGAAAAGCGGTGCCTTTAGCATCAGGTTTAGGTCGTACAGGAAAGCCTTGCAGTCGTTTGTGCTTCAAAGGGGCCTCTCCCTCCCCTGCCCAAACCTCTTCACCCAACGTGGGGTTTCATCTAAGGATCTGAACCCCAGGTGGCAGAGAGAGCCCCGTGGAAGTCAGGGGGGCTGGGGGCAGTTTCGATGTCAGCAGCGTATCGCAAAAGCTGGGGGTCGACCCCTCCGTTTGGGATGCAGTGTAACAAGCCCCCTCGCCTCTGCACTGCTGCTGGCCGGGCTGGCCAGAGCCAGCAAGGGTGCTTGGCCACGGCGGTGCGCCCTGGAGGCGATGCCAGCACCCAGCGGGGCAGCCCCGGGATGCTGGGAGAGGTCCCCTCTTACCCCAAAGTGCTGCTTGCCCTGGGCGTCGCTTTGGGAGCCACGTGGGCTGGCGGTGCCCAGCATGGCTGGGGGAGGGCAGCCCGCCTGGCCCCTCTCTGCTCCCCGGGGTGAAAGCAGCCCCGGCTGCCGCTGCAGCCCGGTTTGGGCTTGACATCTTGCAGGGCTTCGACTGAAACAACAAGGGACCTCAAATCAGAATGTGACACCGAAGCAAAGGAAAAACCACGGTGGGGCCGGGCCGGGCAGCCACGTGGCAACGTGCCGGCATCCCGGGGGCTGCCCTGGAGAGGCTCCTCGGGAGCGCGGGCGCCGAGGGCACCACGAAGCAGGGCTGTCTCGCAGGTCCTCTCCACGGGATGATGAAGTCTCCAGTCCCGGGCTGTGGTTACCCCGGGGTTTGGTCTGGCCCTAGCGCTGCTATCGCCCACCGGAGCAAGCTGGACAGGAAGGTCCCTGCCCGCAGGCACTGCTGGGCCACAGCGAAGGCGGCAGAGCTGGAGGGGTTCAGCGAGGGCGTCCTTGCTCTCACGCCCCAGAGCTGCCGGATTTTAAGACCTGCCCGTTCCCCAGCAGAAGGAGATTCCCTGGCACCCCCGGCCTTAGTGCATCTGTGGGTGTACGGTGGGGCGTCCCTGGGGACAAGCGTGCCCAGCTGGGAGACCAGGATGGGTTTTTTCCGCAGTGTGTTCTTGCTGCTGCGTGCTCCCAGGATCCTGTCCTGGATTCACCGTGGATGCAGAGGCAGGAGTGGTGGCGAAGGGCAGAAGTCAACTCTGTCATCAGAAAGGGGAGTTGCTTGGATACACTGCTAAGCAACCCCAGGGCTCTTCAGGGATGGAAATAACCTTATTTCCCTTCTCCAGTTCTTGCTCCTCATTAGCATCGAGTTTGAGCGGCATGCTGGGACCACAAACATGAGCCTGCTGCAGCCTGGGACGCTACCGTGGCCACGTGGAGCCCTGCCGAGGCTAAGCCGGAGGGGACCTGCTGGCAGAGCACAGCGAGAGGGAGATGGTGTGACAGCGCACGTCTCGCCAGGGTCAGGGCTGCCTTTGGCCAGCGTTTGTTCAGCACCGGGTGTTTTGCCCATTAATTGCCAGCGCACAACCAGGGCACAGCCAGCATCAGATGTCCCACCCGGGGGGGACCTCTGGTGATGGCCGGTGGACCTGACACGTCTCACGTTGAGCTGAGCCTGGCCTGATCCCTCCCAGCCTTGGTGATGTTAATGCATGCTTTGGGCACAGCCTGCCCTGGTCTGGGACTCCTGCCCTGCTCCTCCAGGTGCCACATCCCCCGGTGCTGAGGGAGGGTGGCCACGCACCCGCAACGGGACAGACCCCAGATCCCCTCTGCCTCGGAGAAGTCCCCCCCGTTCGCAGAGCACCACCTCCCTCCTGCAGACGTGTGCGCCCCCGCTCTGCCCCCGCGCTGGGTGCAGACGCCCCCCCAAGGACAGGCTTCGGGAGGCAGGGGACAGTGGCACGGGGAGGGAGACGCCGGCTCTGCCGTGCTCGTCACACCCAGCAGCCGGGGGGGACCTGGTGCCGCCTTCCAGCCCTGCGCCTGCACCCCATCCCCTCCGGCTCAGCTCCAGCCATGGCTTACAGGGTAACTTTCAGGCTTTTAATTAAAACTCCATGAAACACCCATTTGAGATGCTTAATTTAAAGTGAGAGCTAATTAATTTTATGGGCCTTTGCCGCGTCTGTTTTATTTCTGAATTGATGCCTGGGATGATGGCAGGGAGCGCAGCGAGGAAGGCAGCCACCGACTCTTGGAAGCTGTCTAGACAGTCACGGCTCATAAATGCGGCTGGTGGCCCTGTGCGAGGCTGGTGGCTCGCTTAACTTCCCCACTAGGCTTGCTGTCGCTGCTCCAGTTGAGCAGGGGGGAGAAGAAGAAGGTGCTGGGCTGGGCCCCCGTCCTGGCTGGGCTGTGCCCTGGTCCTGCACCAGCTGAACCCAAGCCCAAGCTCCCCGTGCCAGGGCCGGGTCTGCCCCACAGTGCTGTGCCTGTTCCTCGGGGACCAGCTCGGCGTGACATTGCCTTACCATGGGCTTGCCCACCTTGCAAGGACCTTATTTCCCTGCTTTGAAGCAGAATTAGGGCCAAAGTTTTGCCTTCCAGTGCTGGCTTCCACCAGACACCCAGTGCCATTGCAAAGACCCCCACGGCTGTGGAAGCTTGGTGGAGCTTTTCCAGCAGCATCTGCTCAGCCTGGGGATGCTCAGACCAGTCTACCCTGGCCTTCCCGTCCCTGGGAACACTGGCCCCAGCTGGGAGAGCACCAGCATGGTGCCTGCCCCCACAGCCTGCTGAGCCTCGTGGCGGAGGGCAGTGGCCCACGGCACAGCCCCTGGCCACTTGCTGCAGGGATGCTGGCAACCAAAGCGTGGGGAGCAAAGCTCTTGCCCGGAGCAGCCCAGGGCTGAATCGTGTTGGTTGGGTGGGGAAGGGGGAGATGTCCCTGCCGGAGCTGATGCTGTCCCTGGGGCGTGGGGGGGGGTCCCGTCTCTCTCGTGCACCGGATCCGCCGGGAAAGGGTGACGGGCAGCTGTGGTGAAGGTCTGCGGGTGCTGGGGTGCAGCTGAGCCTCGGGGCACCGTGCCCTGCGCAGCACCCTGCAGACGGCGCCTCCGCTGAGGAACCCGACGTGGGCTCGGTTTCCAGGGACCGGCGGACCTGCAGGCTCCTGCTCGGCTGCCGACTGCGAAGGGCCCAGTACTGAGCTGTGATTGAAAACATGAATCATCCCTCTAATTAAACAGGGTCGCTCTGTGCCAGGAAATCTCTCTCTTTGTCAGGATCTTTGTTTTTAAAAGGGCATAAATCTCAGGCAAGGCTAAAGATTGGCTCCCGGACCCTTTATCACAGAGCCGCAATGATTTATCCTGCGCACCCTGGCACCAGGGAGGGAATAAAATGAATAATAAATATTTATTTATAAGCCACAGTAAGCCTGAAAGTGTCTGAACACCGGCAAGAGCAGCGCTAGCGTTCTGTAAGCTGAGCTTGCTTTGGCTCTGATAAAATCTCGCCAAGGGCAGCCCCGTCGGGCAGGAGGGCAGGGGAGCAGCCCAGCGCACGGGGGGAGGCGGGGGACAGCGCGGGGCTGTTAGTGTCGCCGCGGCTGTGGCACTGTTGCTGTTCCTCGTCACATCAGCCACAAGACTTTCGTCCGTGTGAAGCTGCCCGGGGCGTGCTCCCCCTGCCCCAGCGGTGGGAGTCGAGCTCCCGCCGTCCTGCTCCGGCACCACGGCTTTGCCTTGCTCCGGGCTCCGGCTGCCCGGCCCAGCTCTGGGGGGCAGCCCCGGCTGCGGTACCCATGCCATTCACTGGTAATGCCTTGCTGGTATCTACAGAGGGGTCCCAGAGAGTTACCTGGCACCCACCGACCCTTGGGTCAACATTGACAGTGCCTGCAAGAAAGGAAGGAGAAGTCACTGGCAAACATCATGATGTACTCGCCCGGAGAGGTATTCTGAGCTGGCTTTGCATCTGAGCGATGCAAGGAAGACACGCGGAGCCGGTCGGAGCAGTGTATGCTGCAGCTGGAGCCAGACGCTGATGTTCCTGCAGTGGGGAGGAAGAAAACCCAGCCCCGAACCTCCTGCTCCCAGCCTCCTCTAGAGCAGGTTGATTTGCATTCATGTCTTCAAGACGGCTCAGCGCCTCGGCAACGCACTCGGCAATCACGCTTGCAAAACAGATGCGGTAAGGCCAGCAGAAAGGATCGTGAAAGATGGTGTGAACCCCCACGCCGTGATGCCGGGTGAAGCTGCTTACAGCCTGGGCTGCGGAGGTTTGCACAGTGATTGCGGGATCTGTTCCCCGGCTCCACTTTTCCAGCTGTAGATGTGGCCCTGGGGCCCCCCTCCGGGTTTTGAGAGGGTACCGAGGTAGGGATCTCCCTGCCTGCCAACGTGGCCGTGTCAGCCTGTTCCTGGACAGGGAGGGCTGGGGGTGCTGGTGGTCCGTCTCCATGCACCACTGTGGCTGTGGCCGTCATCGCTTGAAGGTTGCGGGGTGACCAAACTGCTCTCGGCTCTGTACAAGCCTTGGGGCTCAGTGAAGGAGCTCCAGAGGGGCTGGCTAAGATGCTGTGCCCCCAGCTCCTCACTTCTCCCGCAGCAAACCAGGCTGCGATCTCCTCCTCAGAGCCCAGCATCCCAGTACGGCCCCGGTGAGCTGGGCTGGGCGGTACCTTTTGCTGGCTTCAGGCCACAGGCGCTGGGAGGGATGGACAGTGGGGGCTGTCACCTCTAAAATGCCATTAAATTGGTGGCCAGAATGTTCCTCTATGGCCTGCCTGGCACCCCAAGCCACGTCAGTCCTGCTGGTGTTTGCAGGGAGCGTGAGGAACCACTGCCCAGTCCTTCCTAGGGGTCTGGGGTGCCCCTCCGTCTGTACCCTGGGAGGGAGGTGGGGAGCCCCCTGCCCTTGTTGGTGACCCCCAGGGCACCTTTGAGGCTAATACTGGGTCACTGGCCAGAACTGGGAACAGGGAGGGATTCGCACCCACGTCCACACACACACGCGAGTGATTTGTGTTGTGACCCACCATGGCCTGTCCCCCCCCGGGGGCTCTGCCAACCAGCCTGGCCGTTCCCACCACGCCGCCTTTGTAACGCGCGTCTTTCACCCGGCGGCAGCAGACACCGATGGGAGCGCCCCAGCTACAGCATGAACTGCAGTGCAAGACCGGCCACGGCCGGGGCTGGGGTCTGCCCTCCCACGAGAGCAGGAAGGTCCACGCAGACGCTGAGATAAAACCTACCAGCTCCCCTGGTGATTTTAAGCAAGTGGCAGGAAGGAAACAACTTTTTTGCCTTAAAAACCCACCAACCCTCCACACTTCTGGCGCAGACCACACGGGCATCCGCAGAGAGCGAGCCACAGCCCGAAAACCTGCGCAGGAGAAGGCAGCGGCCGACGGGGGCCATCGCCCGCTGGCGCAGGCGGCGGAGGGACTGGAGTTGTGCCCCAGCACCCCGCGGAGCATTGCAAACCACCTCGCTGCCTCGTGGCCAAGCCCAGCTGGCTCGCTGCAACCCTGCCCCGTATTTCCTCCTGCTTTAAACGAGGGGGTTTCAAAGTCAGGCTTCAAAACCCGCTTGCAAAGTGAAGAATAACAAGCAGGGCTCTCGCTGGCAGTACAGAACGGCTCGGGGCGGGTGGGAATGCTGCTGGGATGGGTTTTTAGGTGAGCGAATGCTCCGACTGTGTTTTCCAGGCAGGTCCTGCTACTCCAGGGGGATGCTCGGGGTCAGCTGCCCCAGCCCAGAACACCTCTGTTTCTGCCCAGACTCCCCAGACAAACAGGGGGAGTCACTAGAGAGAGCTCGAACGAGGCTTGTGATGGTTTGAACACGTTTGCTGTCTGGGACACGCGGCGTAGCCAGCATGTGACCCACGTTTTTTGTCGGCCGCTCCCAACAAAGCAGCCAGAGGGACGGCTCTGAGCCTCCCGTTCACACCCGAGTCGCTCGCGCCTCTCCGACCTGGGGCTGCGACGGGACGGGAGCTCGGAGCTGTGCGTGTGTCAGCGACGGCTGCGAGGGCTCCGCGGGGCCGTGCCTGCTCCGGGACGGGTGCTGTGCGCGGCTGGGGGGTGTGGGGGGCAGAACCAGCCGGGCTGGGCTCTGTGGGCCCCGGAAGCGCCGTCCTGCCGTGCGTTTGGGGACCTCCGCTGCCCTGCGCCTGCTTTCCCCGCCGCCCCGTCCCATCTCTGCTCTGATTCTGCCAGTCGGGGCTGTTTGAAGCTGGCTTTTCTGGGGGGGCTGTCAGACCAGGCACCGTCTGAAGCAGAAGCTCCTGACACGCCGTTAGCACGCTGGGATGGGGGGAAGTTTGCAGGAGCCCCGGGAGCTGCGGAGGGATGCGGCGAGGAGCAGCTTTTGAGCGGGCGGCAGGGGCGGGAGTGCTGGGGAGCAAGGAGAAGGCTCCGTGTGAGCAACCCCCCCGGCACTGTCCTCCCTGCAGAGCCTGGCCAGGGCCACGCTGCCAGGGTGACAGCCCTCGCCCCGCGCCCCCCCTTGTGGGGCTGCTGGGGTGGCGGGTGGGGGGCAGCTTTCCCGTACTCGGAGGCAAAGCTTTTGCACCCGCAGCGCTGAGGATTCTCGCTGCCGTACCTACTCACTCTGTCATCACCACGGCCTCCCCGGACCAGGGCGGGTGGCTCACACAATTCTCATCATGCTCCCTCTTTGCAGAGCAGCGTGGATTTGGGAAAAGGGGCCAGGGAGAGGGTGCGG